TTCAATTTGTTTCAGAATTTTCTTTTATTCAGCATTTCATTCCTTCAATTTCTTCTCCTGTCTCCTTGTTTACCTTTTTTCCCTGATTTTGGGAAATGAGGTGCAGTGTAAGAAGCAAAACCTGCCAAAATTATACTCATTGAAAATGATACTGATTGAAACCCTGAAATCAGAGGACCACATGAATGGACAGGAGAAGAAAAAGATGAAATGAAATGCTATAAAATGAAAGAGAATTCTGAAACAAAGTGAAAACAATAAAATGGTCTGGGATGATGTGAAATGCATGGAAATAGACCAAACCTTGCTGAATTGCTACTCATGGACATCTTGAAATCTGAGAATAAAGTGAAACAATCTGAGTCCAGTAGACTTATAATAAAATGAAATTCAATTTAAAGAAATAAAATTCTGAAATGAAGTGAATGCAATCAACTGTAATGAGATGACATGAAGTACTCCACCTTGCATGCATCTGGAGTTGAAACATCCCTGAAGGCCTGGGCTTGTGGTTTTCTCAAGCCTAACCTGAAGCGTAAGCCCAAACGTAAGCGGTTGTGCCTTAGAGGGTAGCACTGGCTGGCTGCTAGCTCCATTTCCTCGCTTGCATAATGTGTTTAATGGAGCTGTTCACTCAGCTGTGATAAAGAATCTACAAACCCTGGTGCAAAGGGCTTTCCTGGCACTGATACCAGAATGGTTACAAAGCAAAAATGTATGTTGCTAACAATCTCAAATAGAGATTAAAATAGATAAAGAGCTAATCTGAAGACTCTCTTTTGTTCCAGGAAGTGTCCAGCTAGGATCCTTTTCTTCTAGCAGAGGGAGTTTTTCACAGGAAGCATTTTGCTGCTGTTTCCATGCCTTGGAAGGATAGTCAGGGATGTTGCTTTTTCATAGTTAGGTCCTCAATTTAGTAATTTATGAATTAAAACAAAAATAAAAAGGAAGCTAATCTGGCTAAAAAGGAAACTACATTTTTCTCCTGTACTTATTGCTCTCAGGAGCAGGCAGAATAACCTTGGGGGATTCTGTCTCCCCATAGGAAAGTAATATTTCAGGTTTCAGCAATAATTTTCTGCCTTTTCATGCATTAATCATTAATATCAGATGATATTAATGCACTAAACTGAAAATATTCAAACCTACAATTTTGATTATCTAAACCCTCTGCTAATAATTTCTGAGAGAATAGTATGCTTGCTAGAGTACAGAGTTTACTATTTTCCTATTTTCATAAATAATGCAGCGTCAAGCTCTCATTAACAATTTTTCATGGTTTTATCTGCATTTTTTTCTGTCAGGATAAACAGTTACTTGAATACCAGTCAGCATTTAGAAGTTTTTCTCAGTGTGCTGGAAATAGAAGATTGCTGTGTATTACTATGACAGTGAAATATATTTGATTTTAGTGTGATGCTCCCAATGATAGTTTATGCTCCACAAATTCAAATGTGCATTGGAACTCAGAATGTGAATATTTTTGTAGGAATAGAAAACCCTCAAATAACTTTCAATTTGAAATATTGGCACAGTTGTGCTCACAGATGAATTAGTAACAGTGGGAGCATATGGAGTGAAATAGAAATTATAAATTATGGAATTGCATGCAAGACCTTAATACTGGGCTTTCAGTTTATCAGTTACCTTTGGAGCTCCAAATATCTGCAGGTTACTTTTGCCAACAGTACTTGCCACACTCTCACAGCAACCACACGTAACAAGCTTAATTTTCTGTGCTCATTTGTAATTGTGTTTTAGTGTCAACAAAAATGCTCATACTCTTTTAGTCAGGAGGTATCCACAGGAAGAAGAAAGGATCAAAGATGGTGGCTGCAAGGGAAACTGAGAAGGAAAGTATTTTTGTGATTTTTAAGCTGACCAAAAGACCAGGTTGATGCTGAAAGAAATGACAATGCCATGCAGCAGGTGAGTGGTAAGGAAGTGCCCTGGGAGGTGTTGGGGCCTGCTCCTTTCCTTCTGATGGCAAAACAGCAAACTCCTTGACATAACCAGCTTCCCCACCTGCACAGAAGCAGCAGCTTCCTAAACCCTGGGAATGGCTGTGTGGCCCAGCACTTGCAGCTCAGAATGAGGTATCCCTGAGCACCAGCAACATGCAGGGCTGAGCTAGATATGAAAAATTAATGCTTTTGAGGTAGTAATTATTTAAAACTTTCTGTTGGGTTGCTTAAAAAAACCACAAAACCCTGAAAATTTTCAAAGCCATGCCTCAGATAGAGATGACAAACCTTCTCCTATGGCCTGAACACAGGCACTATGTATGTGAGTTAAAGCCTTTTTGCAGCTCCTTTCTCATTTGTGTTACTCCAGAATAAAACATTGGCTCATATCCAGAAAGAGGGAAAGGCCTAATAAAAATCCTCAATTGCTTTATTTACTTAATGACGCTTTATTGCCTATTTCAAAACCAAAAGCTTTTTGATTTGTGTTCCCTTTGTTTTGACCTAAGGCCTAATACCTGGGATAACTGCACTCAGAATTAAAAATCAGCAACTATTTCTAATGCAACCTGTTTTCCTGTGCAAGTCTTTTGATAGTGAAGGGCACCTCCTGTGCTGACAGCTTTGTGGCAGATGGATCACACCACTTGCATGCACCTGTGGAAACAGAATCTGCATAGGTTCCTACAAGCACACCTTGCTGCTTGTGCTGCTGGAGGGAACAGCAGTAGAGGGAAAAGCTGCCAGCTGCAGCCAAGCTGACTTCCAGGGTGTCTGCTGTGAGTGTCAGAGCTGCCACTGATCTCTGCTGTCTCCCCCTGGCTGGTTGCTCTCTAAAAATGGCTTCAGACAGACCCTCAGGTCAGAGGTGCCCCCTCTCAGTGTCACACAGCACAGGAATTTTCAGCCAGAAACACAATGGGAATGGAAAAGCTGCAGATCACAAAGTAAGCCAAATAAGAAAATTTGCCACCAAAAAGCATTCAAAGTGCAAATGCATCCACATGCCTAATTTGCCTCAAGCCCTCTCTCTCCCCACAGGGGCGGCAGGCAGGCAGCAGCACTGCCATCCCTGCCAGAAAGGCGGGCTGTAAAAACCTCCTCTGAAACTTCCATCTGCGCCGACTCTGCCCTACAGATTACAAAGGATGGTTTCTCACAAGGCGCAAAAGCTCTCGTGAAGCCCCGCTATACTTTCCCATGAGAGCCGGTGGGGGAGGCAGCGGGCTCCGCGAGAGCAGGGTGAGGGCTCTGTGTCATGGCCCAGCTGCTACAGACGGCCTCTGGCAGTCCTCAGCTCCCCACCCGCTGTGCAGGGAGGAGGGCGCGGGTTTTGCTGGAGTGCGAATTTAGAGCCTTAAGGAGGCAGCACCAGGCAGCCCTCAGGGCCGCAGCTCCGAGCCGGCCAGGGGCTCGGCAAGGACAGAACCAGCGAGGCTGCGAGGCCACTGAGGAGGGCTCAAGTGAGCAGGGAGGCAGAGGAGGGTGCGAAAAGCTCGGGGCTGTAAGAAGGAAAGGGGTTTCGGCGCTGCTTCCCTCAAGCAGGCTAGGCTTGGCTGGAGTCAGGATGAAGACCTCTGGTCTTAACCTGAACGTCAGGTTTGCAGGAAAGCAGGAAAAAAGCAAGCAGGGAACTAGCAGGGAATTGCAGTGGGAAGAAATAAAACTTTGAAGACTCTAGTCTTTGAGCTCTGGTAGCTCTTTCCCAAAGGCTTCAGAAGGCAGGCAGTGATCTACACTCCCCTCTCCTCCTGGCTGTGGAGGGAGGGATTGAGGCACAGCTTCCTGCAGGAACTGGATCTCGAATAAATACCCACTGCTGCCCCAGTTCCCTAAACTACTCAGGATAGTTGCACCAAAGCCCTGCAGGTGTGCTGGATTTTGGGATTAAAACCACTGCTAAATATTTTCAGGGACTCAAGCAGCCTGACTGTCCTAACCTGTCATACCACCATAAACTGCTGATTTATAGCCAGAGTGGAGTCAAATTCTTCTCCAAATGGCACAGTGACAGGGCAAGAGGCAAATCACAAGCTGCAACAATCAGAACTGTGACTAGAAACAAAGAATTGCTGCTCCAAGAGGACAGCTCAGCACAGGAGCAGGGGCCCAGAGATGGTCTGGAGTCTACCCTGAAGGTTTTCAAAACTTGACTATCCAAAGCTTTGAGCAGGCTGGTATAGGTCTGGGGCTGACCTTCATAAGCCATCGGGTTGGACCAGAGACCTTGAGAAGAAGCGTCTTCCAGTCTGTTCTATAACAGGATTTCTGGAGAGCTTTAAAACATGAATGCGGATGATGACAAGTAAAAATTTCATGTTCATCCTGTTTGTAATAGTCATGGCTGCTGGATGGGATTCCTGATTATACAGCTTGAATTCTTTTTTTTTTTTTTGGTTTTTTTTTTGGTTTAGAGAAGGTATACCTTTTCAAACACTGCAGAAAATTTATTGTTTTGGAAAACAACAAACCAAAGTTTTAAGAGTCTGAAATAAATGTTCTAATTCTGCAAAAGTGTAAAAGAACATGAAAGAAGAGAGAGGAGAGAGAGAGAGAGAGAGAGAGAGAGAGAGAGAGAGAGAGAGAGAGAGAGAGAGAGAGAGAGAGGCAGACAGAATTTCAGGACTTCAGACCTGCCTGGATGATGAGAACATGTGATAGGCCAAAAATCCAGCTGGAGAAGTGGGTGAAGTGTAACACCACTGCAATAGACACCAGATACTAAGGCAGTAACTTCTGCATGAGCCTAGAGGTACTGAGGCACTCTGTGCTGCCTGAGGGACAGGGACCAGCTACAGGTACCCTTGATCCCACATCCTACAGAGGGAGGGCTCCTGCTTGAGCTACAACTCCAAAACAGAACCCCTGAGTTACCCCACAACAAATTTGGCACACAAGTTGAGTTACCTGCGAGCAACACAGACATGCAATACATGCATTACACAGTAATGTGAAAGATGGAGAAATGCAATGACAATCTTACAGATGCCCAGAATCAGTGGAAATGAGAATGGAAGTGTCTCCACCTGCTCGCACCTGTTATGAACTGTTGGGGGTTCTTTAAATCAGAGTGCCACAAAGCTTTTCAGAATGACTGGAGATAGTAGGGTGCTCTGGTAATTGCAACAGGCTGCAGCAGAAATAAAGCACAAACACTTGCTATCAGTTGAGGCAGAAGTGAAAGCAAAGTGGAGATACAGGAGTTGCTGTGTTGTGTGGCTGTGAGCAGCTCATTTCAAGGATGAGCACGTTGGAAGCTGTGGCCTGAAGCTACAAAGCCTGCTAACTCCATGGAAAGATAACTTTCTTCTTTTATGTACATGGCCTGTTTGCCAGACAGGGGCACAGTGCCTTGTGGGACACTTTGTGACATTTTAATTGCTGAAGTGCCCCCTGAACTTGTGACAGACCTTACCTGTGGGCTTTACCACTCCCACCCAAGGCTGTACAAACTGGTCAATGAAAATTTTTTCTCCACTTCTGAACTCTTATGTATTTCCAGACACATGTACAGGCTTACATATCAAAAAGGTAAGGACATATGCTTTTAAAAACTAGAAATTGGTATATTCTTAATGCACCTAGTGAAGAAAAGGGTAGGCCAAAAAAGGGCTAAAGGGCTCTGGCTTTTTTGTAGGGGGATGTGGCTAACAGACATTAGAAGGCTTCTCAGGCAAGCCCCTGACTTGTTCTTCCTCTTGCATTGAAAGGAACATGAAGTTCCACCAAGCCCTGCATTGCACACTTAGCTGCAGACTAGGAAATGTTGTTCAGGTTTTTGATCAGCTACTCCTGAAGTCCAAATAAGTCAAATAAATACTAAAAATAAGGGACAAATCTCATTCTCTCTGTTTCTCTCTCAGCAAAAATGGTAAATACAGGTTGCAAAGACTGTCTCAAGCAACTCTTTCAAAGAGGTCAAATGAAACCCTATAAAATGAACATCGGCTGTTGTATTCCAGTTTCTGTGGCATGCCGCAGACTCTAAAGGAAGAAAACCAAGATGAGGCATTTATGAAGAGGGACCAACCAACCCCAGTGACCTGGCCAACAGTCCCTCTTGAAGCACAACAAAGACTACCTCCTATAAGGAACAACCATTTGCAACTGGGATGCAAGAAGGGTTTTCTATGTTAAAGTGTAAATTTCAGGACTTGTTGCTCTGTAGTCTAATAAATGGCACAGAATGGATTTGGTAAGGTACCTACCTGGAGTGTTCTTCCAAAACTCACACAGAGCCTCCCACAGAAAAGTTCATCAGCAACAGCCACCTCCACCAGTGATGCCCTCAAGTGCTTTTCCAGTGATTTCAGGGCTCCTCTCGTGGCACAGCATTCCCTAGAAGAAACCTCAGGAAAAAGTCCTCCCAGATTTCTACTTACCTGTTATTTCTCCATGACCCTTTCACATGACGGGGCCACTTGTAAAAGGTTTTCTCAGCTCTCCTTATTTTCAAGAGGAACTTGGATCATAGAACTGCTGTGCTCAGCTCAGGGGAGAACCCATCCAATGTAGGTGGTGGGCAGTGGTTGAGGCCAAAGGGCCGTGCTCCAAAGCAGAATTTTTCCCAGTTACTGGCAGTCTTACAGTCACTGCTGTTGATTAGCAGTTTTCCTAATAATACTTTGTACATCTGCTGGTCCATTAATCTTCTAGACAGCAACAAGTCTGTGCAATTAAAAAGATGCACCTTCTTTCCCTCTTCTGAAGCAGCAGACCACAAATTTGATGTTTGCTAAGTCCATCTTTCACATCTGTCATAAGGAATGTTTACACTTCCACTGTAACAGCATCTTTTCCAAGTCTTTTGTGTTCCTGTGGAAACATGATGCTGTTGGTTTTAAAATAAATGAGCGGTGCAGCTGGAGTCAGTCATGAGGCCTGTGAACCTTGATGTCCTCTTTAAGGCTGCAAATGCCCACTTCCATCTCACAGCTCTGGAAACTGTTTCTTCTCCTGGTACATTTTCCTGTTGTGTAAAGACAAGAATGTTTCCCACTTGGAGCAGAGTCAAACACAACCCTGGAAATTTGCTTAGATGCTACAAAATTGGGCCATTCTGTATGGCCTCTGCTTTTGGTTGCTGAAAAAGTCTCCATCAGCAGTATTTATTTTACTGGCTTATTTTCTTGCAGAGTGCAGCTCTTTGGCTTCATTCCCAAATGGGCAGTTGCGTTTTTGCCATCTATCACCTGTACAGGCAGTGATTCCTCCTCAGAAGTTTCAGCCACAGCAAGGACACCAGGTGAATGGAGAGACTGCAACATCCACTTTATACAGTGACTTCCTCACCTTGGTTTCCAAAGCAGCAAAATATTACAAAACCCAGGAGTGTTACATTACATCAGTCCTTGTTCAGCTTACAGAACGGTGCTTTCTTGCCTCTTTGAAATCCATTGCCACCTGCCAATTCTGAATTTCATAGTACAACACTAAGAAGTAATTTGTTCGCTCTTCTGTATTTCTTCTGACTACAAATGTGAGCCGTGAGATCTGTCTTACGTGCAAGTTACTTCAAATCCAAAGTGATGAAAAAGTGCACAAGAAGAAGTAGGCATTGTTATGCCCCATAATCCAGGTTGTTGTAATTCCAACAGCCTTCAAAGTAACATCCTCAAAATAATCTACAATTTGTACTAATCTAATAATTCCAGCTCTCTTCTGAAAGGAAACTCAGTTCCAGTGGGCAAGAACTTGGGTGAAAGTCCAATTAAGTTTTTATCATACAAATGCTGTGAAGTGTGCAGACTTTCATTTTTTACTAAAACCACGAGAAGTGGTGACATTGCTTTGATGAACTGGCTTTACCTCAGAGGACTCTCACTACACAATGCAAATTTATCCTTACACCACCATTTTTATTTTTAGTGTAAATACCTCCCAGCTCTTTCCCCAACAATTTCTCTGCCATTCTTTGTTGCCCCCCATTAAAAGATGTGGCACTGAAAATAAACAATTTCAATAAAACTCAGAAAACTATTGCCATGCTGTATCTCAAAGCCAGGGAGCACCAACCTCCAAAACTGCGATCTCCAAGTTTGGGAGAGGTAGCTACAACCCAAAAGCCCCCAGTGCAATACAGGTGGTATTTGCATGTAACCTGGCCATACTCATGTTCAGTAACACAAGCGGTTTTTATCATGCAGAGGAGAACATGTCAGCATGACTCCTGAAGCCCAGCTAGAGTGGAACAGTTTTTTCACAGGGGGTTTGCTATGAGCTAGAAGACTATTCTTCTTTTTCAAATTATTGGATGGGAGTTAAGTCTCTCTGGGGCTGCTAAGAAATATCAGCATTTCTAAAGCTGGCCAGGTAAGGTCAAAACCTTGAAACCGCAGCATTAAAACTGATTTAAGCAATAAATTGCAATAAACCTCTGGAGGATGAAGGGGGAAGAGAAGCAATCTCAGCTCCCAGTATTACCCTGTGGAAGAAGCCAGCAAACAAGCGATGCTTTCCTTCCAGTTCAGGCTAAACATGTTTAACAGGAAAACACACTAAACAGGAAGTGGGATCCACTTAAGAAATCAAATCCTACAAAAATATTCTGTAAGCAGCACTCTCTTCACTTTCCAGGTGGATGACAGAGTAAACCTTTTGGATTCCACTACAAGTACAGGAAGAGCAAACAATTAATCACATCTAGGGAAAATGACAGCAACTATTTCACTGACCTTTGCACTCCAAGGAAAAACCTCATAATCTCCTTCAGAGCTTTACATAATAATTCCTGGCTGAATACCACAGCTCAGGTAGGGAGCTCGTGGTGCAAAATATCCATATGGAGCCAATTTTTCAGTGATGTGCATTAGCCAAGCTTTCACTGGTCTGTAGCAATGCCAAGATAAAGTACCAGTGTTACCAGCCTCCCACAATTTTCTAATAATCACTTTTGTCCTCTATCTTTATTGACTAAATTCTCTGACTCATAATATGCTGCCAGAGTTCCATCTTAAAAACCCCGAAACAAACGATAAACTAAACCCTGACCTAAACTTGTTTGTTGGAATTTCACAGCCAAACAAGAATCTCGTCCTGTTTCGCAAGAGGGATTTCTAACCCAAAGCCAAGATTGCAACTACTCTTCCAGCATCTCATATCAAAGTCAGTAAAACCGTATCTTTGTGTTTTCTAGATCTGTAACTGAACCTGGATTATGTGTACTCTGTTCTATTTCATGTAACTTTTAATAATTTAAAAAAAAAAAATCCAGAGCAATGGTGAATTATTCATCCTCAACCATCTAAATATTCTGTTCCACTTCCAAAAATATGGTATTTACATTTAATTTTCTACATTTTGAGATAGAGGACTGCTTTTTTCAGTCATTCTGGCAGGTCAGGGACTAGATCAGACAAACCAATGCTGTACCCCTCTACCAAATATTTCTATCATGTCTAGGACACCCACTGCACTCGGGACAGCACAGGTAATTCCTTATGTCATAACTCAGTTAGTAGACATGATAATTTATAAAGTCTATATCCAAGTCAGCCCCCAAATGTTCCCTTTGTAACTGTACCAGTTAAAAGTATTATCTTTCCTAATACACATTTTTATGTACATTACTGCACATTAGTCAAAATTCCAGAGCTGCCATTCAATTACCCATATCTCAACAAACTTCCGGGTTTTTTTACATGCATGTCCCACCAAAAATATATTTCTTTAGCTTGCCATTAGCTGGACTCCATGAACTAGATGTGCAACATACTTTAGCAGATCCTGCACCCTGAACCTCTGAATATTTTTTATTTCAATATTATTGAACATCATTAGTTTGTCTTGTTCTAAGCAATTCAAAAAGTTCAAAAATGTCACAACCCCAAATAAAACTCCCTTGCATACCTCTGTGGTACAGATCAGTGAGGTTGATCACAGCCCTTGGCAGGGGCAGCTGAAATGGCTTTCTCCTGTGCTGCACGATCCACAGTGGTCTGTGCCTCAGGTTTCCAAGCATGGATTTCAGATGCAATACATATAAACAACAAATGTATCAATGGGCAGCTTCTGGTATTGGAATCTGCTCTGTATACATCCCATGGCTTCCCCCAGCTCCTGCAGCACTCCCTTTATCCTTGTCATATGAACAAACACCCTTTGCACATTGAATCCATTCGCTATTCTTGATGTGAAAGCATCTTTTTCTTCGACCCCACGCAGCAGTGCTGACTCAATCTGGTTAGCTTGGAAACGCTGCTAAACCATCACACTCAATTCCAGCACATTGGTGTAAGTCTCTTTCAAGAGATCCCGATGGGAGTCAGCACGGAGAAATGCTTTGAAAATGAGCTGCCTTATCCAAGCTCTTGTTAGTTCATTCCTCATTTGAGCAGGTAATTCCTAAACAGATGCCATTCTCATCTATACACAATCTCTTTTAAGGTTTTAAGGTTCTGCTGCAGGTCATTTCTGCTCCACAAATTCTAAATTAGCCAAGACTTTCCAGTTTGGGTATCCACGATGACAAACTGTTAATTGCTCTTGCAGGATGAAGCAGGTAAACATTCTGCACAACAGCTTTCAAAATCCACTCAGCACTTTGTATTTTCTCAGCCAAAGGAAATTTTTATTTCCAACAGGATTTTATGACTCTTCTGGATAATTTCCAAGTTCTCCCAGGAAGCCATTACACATTGTTTTAATTCCTCCTGGCTCGGTTTCAGAATCATGACAGCTGTTTCTGTAAGGGTTTCTGTAAAGACTTGACCACCAAGCACAATCCTGCTCTACTGGAGAGCACCCCTCACCTCTGACCACAGCACTGGGGGGATTAAGCCACAGCTGAGTTGAAGGATTTTAAGCACTTTCCACTGCAAAATACTTCCCATAGAAATGACTGGTACCAGTTCTTTATTTGCTCTACACAACTGCCACTACCTTCCAGCCACGGTGCACGACAAAATATTGAATCTCCATACTTGCCACAAGCTCCCACATGGAAAACTTCCAAGGCTCCCTCCCAGCTACCCAAAACCCTTCTGCCTCTGCTGACACCACCCTGAAGAGCCAAAGTGAAAGTGTCAAATTCAACAGTTCCAGGACACACTGTTCTGCTGTCACAATGCTACATACAGAGTTGACTCTTCACCAACATAAAATCAATGCAATAACAGGAACTTTTTTTTTTTGAGTATGTAGAATAGAACAGACACTATGAAAAAAAAACAATTTTTATTCAGTTGAAAAGAAGTCATTTACTCAATCACATTAACTATGC